TAAAATGTTTTTTTTAACCTTGAGCTCACAGCCTCGGTTATCAAGATATTCGTTCGTTCGTTTCAGCCAAATGACGTCTACTGCTTGACAAATGCCTCCCCCAAGGTTTTCCACAATGAACGGTCCTGCGCTGCCCGCATCCAGGTTCTTCCCGCGACCATTACCAGATCGTCGGTCCACCTAGTAGGAGGCCTGCCCACGCTACGTCTACCAGCCCGTGGTCGTCACTCGAGAACTTTTTTGCCCCAACGGCCATCGGCTGTCAAGATGTAGAATAACTACTTAACCGTCTGGTTAACTTATTGCAATCAATATCTTTTCTTTCGAGTTTTGATAATTTGTGCTATGCTGAATTTAGGTACAACCCGGTCGAGTTCAATACGCACTTGGCAGCCGTGACGTCACATCGACGCTCTGGTATGGATAACATTGACATAATTATGACATGACAAAGCATACATATCTGTGGGTCTAGACAAAGTGCAAATTATAATCGCAAACCAGTCGAAAAGTGGTCGAAAAGCCCCTTTTTTGTATGGAGTTTTGACGGATTCGATTTTCGATTCGATCAAAAAGTGCGTTTTGTCTAAGGGGGCTGAAGGAAATCTGAAGTCTCGCTGACGTTAGACGTTACATAAACACCCTCTCGTGCCGCTCCCATACCTGAGTCACTGATGAGTTAAGCTTCAACTACACCAGCGGTTCCCAAACTTATTTTGTCTACTGCCCACTTTGAGAATAAATTCTTTTTAGCGCCCCCATCCAGAGTCCTCCTAGTAAATGACGCCTCTCAAGCCTCTACACAACGTCCCGATATTTTTTTCTGGGTCTCTTACCGCCCCCCTTTAAGCCTGCAGTGCCCACAATGGGAAAGACTGAACTACACCAACGCGAGCAGATCGCCATCGGCGCACTATGGATCGAAATTGAGATTTATGGACATAGCGTTTTTTTTCACAATTTCTATTTGAAAAAAATACCTATCGATAGGTTACGTTATTCTGATGAATAAATGCTGCACAAGTTTTTCTCTAAAACCAATAGTTTGGCTGGAAAACAATATTTTCCATTTTCGTTGTATGGAATGAAACATAAAGTGGTCGATTTCTACTAAGCCTTGACAGATCTTGCTTTGAAACTACTTGAGCCTTGTTTTATGGCTTGTTGACTATAATCCTACACTATCAGCGCGCGCCCAAAGTTGCCCGTTCACAAGTTATGAGGTTCAGAAAAATTAAAAAAAAGTAAGTAAAAGTGACTACTTTATGTTTCATTCCATACAACGAAAATGGAAAATATTTTTTTCCAGCCAAACTATTGGTTTTAGAGAAAAACTTGTGCAGCATATATTCATCAGAATAACGTAACCTATCGATAGGTATTTTTTTTAAATAGAAATTGTGAAAAAATTCGCTATGTCCATAAATCTCAATTTCGATCCATAGTGCGGCGGCGCGATCAAAGGCCAATGACAGGTCGCGCGACCCATGACAGTTCGCGCGACCCTTCATTTCCCTATGGTCGCGCCGTGATCGCGCCGGCGATGGCGATCTGTGGGTCTAGACAAAGTGCAAGTTATGATCGCAAACCAGTCGAAAAGTTGTCGAAAAGCCCCTTTTTTGTATGGAGTTTTGACGGATTCGATTTTCGATTCGATCAAAAAGTGCGTTTTGTCTAGGGGGGCTGCACGCGTTGGTGTGGTAGCAGCATAATGCGCTAGATCTGTAAACTCAGATTTTTAATTCGACGGAATTTTGACATTTCAGAAGTGTTGCCAACATTGAACCATTCCCACTAAGAATGGAGAGCATTTTCACAAATTAAAAAATAATCCTTTCTTGAATTTAAGGTTTCACTTGAAAAACCAAGGCTTAAAAATGTACTAATCATTTCAAAATGGTTATTTGAATTTTTATTATCATATTTTAGAAGTTACAAAAAAAACTGGGAAATTATTTTTCTATTACTGGACTCCCTGGCCAAATCCATGGGTTACAAACCTTTTTTATGAAAATCCTTTTGTTAATAAAATCTTAGCTTCATAAAATAATCAATTTAACAAGATGCTAATTTTATAATCCAAGTTGATTATGATGACGATAATGATGATTGATGATCAATACATATTTTCGTTTGTGATAATATGTTGTTTTACTGTGTTAAAAACACGTTTTTTTCTATTTAATCTCTAAAATGTACATAATAATTAGTGTACATAGAATTCACAAAACAAACAATAGCTGTTCATTCTTGTAAGTTGTACTTGATGAAATTTCATTTCATATTATTTATTAATAATTCAAAGCAAAAAAGGCTTATTACATCTGAATTGTCAAAAAATGACAGCTGTCAGAATTCCGTCGAATTAAAAATCGGACTTTAGGTAGGTATTTAATGAAAATTGTACCCGAGCGTTTTTGATGTCTCTGACACACCTCATGCTGCCCCTGATCAGTACTTTGTTAGATTTGTTAAAGAGCTCCATTTGGATGATGGCCGGGGGGTCCTTCCTGACGAAAGGCAGTTCGGTTTCGTTGCATACTGCCAAACTCTTAGTTATCGTTCTGAAGCGGCCCTGTAAATAATGTCCAATCAATGTAATTTTTTATTTATTTATTTATTTAGTTTACCAATAATTGTTACACAAATGCTTACAAAATATTAGATAACAATAACTGAGAACTAAGGACGAATATCTAACACCCTTATTTACAAACGATACTTGCTTAAGTGAAGCAGCAAATCGAACGCACAGCGTTGAATAGAGCTCTGTGATTGGACCCTGTGCGTTCAAGCGCACAGTGAGACCTCATAGTAATGTTTATAAAGACGGGCGTTAGTTAGGACAATAACTCGCGGCTCCGTTTCATTGACTCCGGTGGATACCGGGCTTTAGTGGGTAGTTCGTGGCAGGGAGAGTCCCACATAACCCACTGGTCGTTCCCATGGTCGCGGGAAGAGCCTGGATGCAGGTAGCGCACGACCGGTCGTTATGTGTAGTGCCTGAGATATGAGAACGGCATGGGAGGGTGTTTTCTGTAAATTGAGACGTCAGCGAGCCTTCAGGTCTCCTTCAGAAGACTTCCTGCTTGGTCACGTTACATTAATGTCAATGTCATACCTCCCGAGCAGCTCCCATACCTCAGGATCTGACTGAGTAAAGCACTTCTTTCTTCTTTCTTTTCAGCCAAATGACGTCCACTGCTGGACAAAGGCCTCCTCCAAGGTTTTCCACAATGAACGGTCCTGCGCTGCCCGCATCCAGGCTCTTCCCGCGACCTTTACCAGATCGTCGGTCCACCTAGTAGGAGGCCTGCCCACGCTACGTCTTCCAGCCCGTGGTCGCCACTCGAGAACTTTCCTGCCCCAACGGCCATCGTCTCTACGAGCTATGTGCCCCGCCCACTGCCACTTGATTTTGAGTTAAGCACTAGTTCTATGGCATAGAGCAAAGTTTTGGCATTATGTCAGCCGGAGTGGTTCGTTAGAGAGCGAGCGCTATGAGACGGAGCTGCGGACGAATGTCTAACACCCTTATTTACAAACGATACTTGCTTAAGTGAAGCAGCAAATCGAACGCACAGCGTTCAATAGAGCTCTGTGATTGGACCCTGTGCGTTCAAGCGCACTGTGAGACCTCATAGTAATGTTTATAAATACGGGCGTCAGTTAGGACAATAACTCGCGGCTCCGTTTCATTGACTCCGGTGGATACCGGGCTTTAGTGGGTAGTTCGTGGCAGGGAGAGTTCCACTTAACCAACTGGTCGTTCCCATGGGTATGCCAAAAACCATTATTTCCGTAAAAAATGTACATTTACTAAAAGCAAAAATGTACATTTACTAAAAGTAAAATGTTTTCTGTTTGTTTATTATAAACCGTATATTAAAACTTACCTTGGCTCGCGCACACGTACAAACATAGGCAGCAATCAAAAACAATAATCCAGTAATAACTATATTTTTCATGGTGACACTGTTGCATTGATGTTGACGGAAGTTTAAAAACAAAATAATGATTCCGAAACATCAGTTTAATGATCATTTCATTACTCAATGACAATGTAATTTTACCAAAGTCCGGGCTATTGTCAGCATTATTTTTATTATTAAACTTTATTTTAATAACTTTCTAACTAGCGACCCGCCCCGGCTTCGCACATGTGCATTAAAATCTCTCGGCCTTTCTTTTTGATACTAATTTGCTCTTGAATCTTGATGGTGGACCGACGACCTCATAAAGGTAGCAGGAAGGCGCTGGATGCAGGCCGCCACCAACCGGCCATTGTGAAAAACTAGGGGAGGCCTATGTTCAGCTGCAGTGGACGTCTTATCTCTTATGGCTGAAATGATGATGATGATTATGATGATGAATACTTTGATCTTGAATCACTCTATTGCTGAAAACTGGACTTATTGGAAAGTATATACTTTGTTATGAGGTTTATTCCGCTTTGTTCACCTGGGTCACAACCTGGGTGAAGAAAGTGGAATTTTTAGTGTCCTCATAAATATGTCCTCGGAACCGGAAATATTTGGGAAGTGATGTAATATACAGTTCTTTGCATTTAACTGACAAAAAGAGTCCTACTAGTATTTAGAGAAGAGTACCTAATAAGTAAATAAGCTAAAGTAAGTAAAACTATAATATGCTCCATAAAATCATGAACATAAAATGCGATATGTATCACATTTACCGCAATAAAGTAATTCTTATTCCTATTTTATAAGGAAGTGAATATCCTACCAATACTACTAATATTATAAAGGCGAAAGTTTGGATGTCTGGATGTTTGTTACTCTTTCATGCAAAAACTACAAAACGGATTTTGATGAAACTTTACAGTATTATTGTTTATAACTCAGATTAACATAATTATAGGCTATAATTTATGACGATATGTGACAAACATTAAACTAAATTTCACGCGGGTGAAGCCGCGGGCAAAAGCTAGTTAGTAATAAATACAATATCGCATCACATTTAACCAATCTATCGCCGAGCTAATTATTTATCGGCTCAACTACAGTGTCGGCGCAGAAACAGCCGATTGTGTATTTCTTGACGTTAAATTCAATTTTCCATCGCACTCGCCCATACTCTCTTTCAGGAAGCCAAATGTGGTCTGCCACATTGATGTCGAACTCCACATGGTAAGATCCCTGAAATGACACCAAATAAGTATATTATTATGTAGGTACATAGTTCATTCCTAGTGGGAGGCCTGCCCACGCTACGTCTTCCGGCTCGTGGTCGCCACTCAAGAACTTTCCTGCCCCAGCGGCCATCAGCTCTTCGAGCTATGAGCCCCGCCCATATGGTGAAGGTCGCGGGAGGTGCCTGGATGCGAGCGGCGCAGGACCTTTCTTTGTCGTTCCATTCTTTGTCCAGCAGTGGACGTCTTTCGGCTGAAACGAACGAACATAGTTCTTTTGTTCAGGCAAATGACGTCCACTGCTGGACAAAGGCCTCCCCCAAGAATTTCCGCAAAGACCAGTCCTGCGCTATCCGCATTCAGGTGCTTTCCGCGACCATCACCAGATCGTCAGTCCGCAAAGTGGGAGGCAAAATTGCCAAACCTTAGAGGCAGTTGACGGGTCATATAGCTTGTGAAATAGTCGATGGGGCAGAAAAGTTCTCGAGTGGCGACCACGAATCGCGACTGTAGTTTTCGATGGCAACAAGGTAGAGGTAAATATTCTACGAGCTGGGTTCTGCACTTCTAAGGGCTATACCGGTATCTTTAAAGGTTTTAAACCTTTGTTTGTCACCTGTCATCCGCTTTGCAACGGAGGGAAGTCGAATCTTAATTTCGAACTCCTCCTATGTTCTTCTGATTAATTTCGTTGCGGGTCCAATGACAGTGTAACATTCCCCCGGGACAAACTTGACCTTCATTAGTTGAGTTTTTATGGCGGTCAAGCTGTAGATCCTGGCTACACAGGAGTTGCAGTGGTGGGAACGAGAGGTGGGAATAGTCCCGATATACCGGTGTCTTTGGTTCTCCTTACCTTCAGGATGATGCATTCCGTTAAATCAAACTTGACATTAGTCATTATGGCTGTCACCGTTGTAATGACAGGGGTTTCGCACGACAAAGTCGGAAATTTTATATGTGGTATCCATTTACCATCCTCCCATTTGTATGCTCCTGCTGTGGCCTAAAATAAAATAAAAAATGGTCTAGAAGAAATGGTATCTTTTTGATTCTTTGTTCATTTAAGGGTCTATTCCACTTTGATCACTTCGTTTTGATCACCCAGGTGATCAAAGTGGACTTCCAGCGACAATTTAGTGTGATTTGATCACCCACGGATACGATGCACTGGGTGATCAAAGTGGACTTCAGTTAAATTATTATTTTAGTGTCCTTTGATCACCTACAAACAAATCACACCTCCTCTGAATAGTCACATGTCCAATTGTTGTACTTACATATTTTGTTTTGTATTGTTGGAGATATTTTCTAAAAACCGCAACAAACAAATTGAACATGTACCTATGTCCCATTGAAAAACAGTTCTAAATCCGTATTCATGGGGGTCATTTTAATAGAACTATTACTCGATAGGATCGCAACTCAGTGTTTTGTTGTCGTTGAAGTTTTGTTACGTGAATAAGGCTACAGACGTAGGAGGTTAGGAGGCTCTATTATACTCTGCCGAAACCATATGGCTAGACTACGTCGACTTTACTTCGAACTCCTCCTATTTTCTTCTGATGAATTTCGTTGCAGGTCCAATGACAGTTAACTTTCCCCCGGGACAAACTTGACCTTCACTGGTTGGGTTTTTATTGGCGGTCAAGCTGTAGATCCTGGCTACACAGGAGTTGTAGCGGTGGGAACGAGAGGTGGGCATAGTCCCGTTAGATTACCTACTATAATGCAACTTACCGTTATATTTCTAATACTTCTCAAAACCGTGATATTTCCAATCAATACATTGTTTTTCTTGGTAGTATTGACGAAGCCTACTTGGGACACAAATGCAGGGTTTCTGGTCATAGGCGGTAGGCTAGTTTTAGAACATTTGGTAAATGACACCATCGTAGTTCTGTATGGTCCCTGTAAATAAAACCATAGATAAATAAATAAAACCGAAGAGTTAGGCACTTACGCGGCGGCTATAGCAAGTTAGCAAGGTTCTAGAGTGCAGGCCACGTTCGTTCGTTTCAGCCAAATGACGTCCACTACTGGACAAAGGCCTCTCCCAAGGCTTTCCACAATAAATGGTCCTGCGTTGCTGGATGTTACGCACCAGAAAAATAAAAACATTGGGCGCGCGTAACCTGCGTAAATATATAGGTAAATAGCAATTGCTATGATATCGCACCCTTNGTTTCTTACTTACCTTTAGTCGATTTTCAGCTCGTACTGACATCATGTACACCATTAAACACAATGTCACAGGCCATCTACTTGTCATGACGTCAGCTGATATTGCCAACTTTATAAAAACTGCTAATATTTTTGTTCTAGTTTATTCCACTTTGGATATCATTAAAAAGTCATTAAGTCGTGATAGGTTTTGTGTCATTATGCTTATAATTTAGATGTTATGTAATGATTTATAAGAATATTGTAGTGTAACAGCTACATGTTTCACTCTTTCAGAAAATGATACCTATTACTTATTTGTAACCGATTTTTATTGATGATTGACCTATATAGCCCGCAGAATTGATAAAATCAAGTGACATAGCTCGTAGAGATGATGACCGTTGGGGCAGAAAAAAGTTCTTGAGTGACGACCACGGGCCGGAAGACGTAGCGTGGGCAGGCCTCCCACTAGGTGGACTGACGATCTGGTGAAGGTCGCGGGAAGAACCTGGTTGGGGACAGCGCAGCACCGGCCGTTATGGAAATCCTTGGGGGAGGCCTTTGTACAGAATGAACGAAACGAAAGGCTGAAACGAATGAACGAATTTTTAACACTTTTTTCTTAGTATCTAGTTTATGATTTCTCAATTTTTTAATCTTAATTCCCTACATTTTCTAGTCCAGCCCCTTAATGAAAAATAAATCTTTGTATTTTACAAAATAGTTTTGTATTCAGACTTTTCTTTCCACAAATCCTCATTCAGTACTAAACTATAAAAATGAGGCACTTTACTGAGAGACTGAAAATTCACGCGGACTTCTTGAGAAAACCTGAAGTAATGTTTGCCATTGCCACTCATGCACGTTTACGAACACTTAATTTATTAACAATCTACTATAATTACACATTAATAATAGTCCATTTAACACAAAAGACAAAACAAAACGGTACGCTCATCTACTATATAAAAATAAGTCGGGTTTTCCTCCCTGACGCTATAACTCCAGTGTGCCTACCATGAGTTTACGTTAGGTGTGCTCGCTAGCGACTGCGTAAAAAAATGACATTTAAATGTATGACATATTGTGCAGCGCCCCTAGCGGCTACTTTCAAGAAATAAAATCTTCATAGAATTTTTTGACGTATTCGCTAGCGAGCTCACCTAACGTAAACTCATGGTAGGCACACAGAACGCACGAACCGATTTCCACGGTTTTGCATTCGTTGGAAAGGTCTCGGGCTCCGTGAGGTTTAAAGCAAAGAAAATTCGGGAAAAGGGGGTAAAACGGGATCCACGCGTACGAAGTCGCGGGCGGCCGCTAGTTATCTATAATTGTTTTAAACTTTCATGGTCACTAACAAAATTATTATTACTGACAGTAATAATAATTTCGCTCATATCTTTTTAGAAAATAAAGAAAAATTGCTATAAGTCTGGCGCCTAACTGAGTCAGTGCCTGAGGTATGGGAGCGGCACGGGAGGGGTGACATTGACATAACAATTGAGAATGATACTAGGTATGCAAAATCACTTGAAACCTATGTTACAGTTAGGCTTTTACATTTACAAATACATTAGTTTTTATTTCATTCAAAAATACCCAGTAGTTATGATTTTATAGGCATTCAAAGTTCGCTAAAATATCGAGTCCCGCCGACGGTCACGTGACCGCGCGTGACGTACATTCACAGTGTCCGCTCACTAGAAAACGGATATAAACATACTTTAATACATTTTTTTTTGTAAATACAAACTTATCATACATATTAACACCCAGACCCATCACAGAAATTAAAATTGAACCAAACCCAAACTTGATGCGATTGTGTCATTTTATTGCGAATTACCTTCCAGCTCCATCATTAGACCCTGATTATTATATAGAATTAAAGTACTCATCAATACAAAACGAACGAGCCCAAACTCGATGGATTTAAGTCGTTTTATTATAGAGTTCCTATGGCCACCTTCCAGCCCCATCATCAGTGTACCTACCATGAGTTTACGTTAGGTGTGCTCGCTAGCGAGTACGTCAAAAATCTCTATGAAGATTTTGTTTCTTGAAAATAGCCGCTAGGGGCGCTGCACAATATGTCATATAATTAATGTCATTTTTATACGCAGTCGCTAGCGAGCACACCTAACGTAAACTCATGGTAGGCACACAGATCAGCTCCATGTCATCATAATATTGCATGGTCATCCAAATCACATGTGTTTGCGAAATTTCAGCTTAATCGGTTGCCTGGAAGTGGGTCTTAATTCAGCTTGCAAGATTCCACACATACAAATATGAGCCAGTCACTGTAATATGACGTCACGCGCATAAAATGGCAGCCGGCCGCCGCCCGCACTTTTAAAATTCAATATCTTGGAAACTAATTGACGTATCGAAATAATTCTTTCACGAGTATTTTTTATTTTTAACAGAGAATACAGAAAGCTAAGAAACAAAATTAGTGAACATTCTTCATTATGACGTAGCAGAGTCTCGAGGCGGGATGACAACTCCATAGAACGACTGGTCGTCCAGGGAAAAGTCGAAGGAACCCGATCGCGTGGCAGGTCACCAATGCGCTGGACCGACCAAGTGAAAGCAGCAGTGGGAGACGGCTTATGTGACTGCACCAGACAGTCTGCCAATAGAGAGAGATGGAGGGAGATCGTGCGGAGAGTTGTATCCGCCTCTACAGCCATGTGTACAACGCCTCAACGTGACCACGACCGCTCTGCCAAGAGCGTAACGAATAAGAAGCAGAGCATAATCTGAATCATGTCTCGCTGACGTTACACCCTCCCGTCTTGACTTGACTTGACTTAAGGTCCTATGTCCCCTAGATGGGGCAGAGGGCGTCCACAACAGTCCTCCATCGCGTTCGGTCTTGAGCTTCGCGTTTGATCTCGCTCCAGGTCTTGCCGATTTTCTTCGCCTCGTCTGCTACAGTGCGTCGCCAAGTTTGCTTGGGGCGACCACGTTTGCGTTTTCCTTCCTCCAATCCAGAGCTTGCTTGGGGATGTGATCGAGGTCCCTTCGGAGAGTGTGGCCGATCCAGTTCCACTTGCGGCGCTTGATCTGCTGGTCGATCGGAATTCATCACCCTCCCGTGCCGCTCCAATACCGCAGGCAATTACTCAGTTATACCAGGCCTGTTCATCTCCGCGAGTTTACATCGAAAACAAAACACGCACGATTGCCCCCTACAAGAGTACTATTCGACATGGCCTCACATACGAGCGAACATTGACTCACGCACGCGTATTCTTGTGTATGATGGAAAAAAAATAAAGAAAATGGTGTACTAAATACTGTGCAGTATTTAACTGCCTAAATAATAATAAAAACACAGAATGTACTTTTTTAAGTTGCCTGAAGACACTGAGAGGTAAATAAGTAGTTAATATTATTCATGATAATTCATGCTAAATCATGTATTTCCTCCGCCCATTTTCTGCAGATTGGCACCTCACGTCACATCATTTTACCGAAGTCAGCCCTATAGCTTCGGCGCAGTACCGATCACTGACGTTTGTCAACAAAACTTCTGACAAACTTGCTTGACTCTTGAGACAAGCTAAATTACACCATATTGTTAATAATGACATTGAGCATACATTTTTTTAAATACCTTCGCGAAGTAAAACTTCTGTACGTAGTACTTATTATTATTCTGTGGTTATACGCTAGACTTATATTAAATGATGCTTTACTATCTCGCCAAGAACTAAAAATTTATTTATTTCTATTAGCACAGACAGGAGTAAGGTGTCAAACATAGAAACGTCACCCGCTGTCAGCAATTTGATAACAGGCGTCCTTTGTTCGCAAGACGCTTGAATTTCAAACGTCAAAGGTCGAAGCCTGAACACAGCTCAAATACATCAGCCAACACAAAAATCACGGCGAGAGAGTGAAAGTACTAGTAAAAACACACTGTCGCTATAGACGTGCACGTTTTCTTCACGTGAGTCGATGTTACCAGGTAGGTTAATATATTCTGTTTGATGTGAACAAGATATCTGTCAAATCGCTCGTTTATTTACAAAAGATCGCTGCATCCTTATCAAGAACAGTTCCTTCATTCATTGGTTTCAGCCAAATGACGTCCACTGCTGGACTAATGCCTTCTTTGTACTACGACTGGTCCTGCGCTGACCGCATCTAGGTGCTTTTGAGAGAAGTTAAGAGGCATGCCCACTCTACGCCTTCTTATCCGTTGCCGCCACTCGAGAACTCTGCTCTCTCTGTACACTCTGGCTGACCTTGCTACCCAGTGCCTTCAGACAAAAATGTCCCAAACTGTCTAAATACTTGCCCGAGTTAAGCTTTATTATTGGCCAAAAATAATCACTAGTTTTTTTCCTCTGTACTGGCTGACCTTATCACCCTGTGCCTTCAGACAACCGTCTCCAAATTGTCAGCATACTTGCTGCCCGGACTATGCAGCCGGAATGTGCTCTGTGGGCGACAACCAGTTTGCTATGATTTTCTGTCATAGCAAAGGCTCTCTCGGTATTAGTTTGGATAGAGGGACGCTAATTTTGGAAGGACGGCTATTTTTAGAAGGAACTTGGCTGACAGAAATGCTTGTGATATTTTATGCGTGGCTCAACCAAAATTGAGGCGAATACAGAACACAAACAACAGATTACAAAATGTTTCTGCTTAACCCGTAGGTAAACTGGTCGAGAATGCGTTATGGCGTTAAGTTCGTCCTATGTTCCAAATTATTTAGCACTAGCTTTCCGCACGCGGCTTCGCCCGCGTGGAATTTTGTCTGTCACAGAAAAACTATACCGCGCGCGTCCTTGTTTCAAAAACCGGGATAAAAACTATTCTATGTCCTTTCCCTGGACTCAAACTATCTCTGTGCCAAATTTAATTAAAATCGGTTCCCTGGTTTAGGCGTGAAAGCAAGACAGACTTGCATTTATAATATTAGTATAGATTTTATCTAAAAGATTTTTAAAGATTAAATTCAAAAAGCTCAGTTTAAAAGTAGCAAAAAAACTAAGCCAAGTTGTCGTAAAATCTTTTTAGAAACACACAAAGTGCATTTGCAGTGCATCCAGTGTAATTATTCTGGGTCATAAACCATACATTACACCTGAAG